TTCCTTCAACAAAGGTGTATCATATGTGAAGCAATCTGTCCACATATATACTGCTTCACTGTGATCTTACCTGGTATTTTCAAGCAATATCACAAGAGAAATAATAGGATCATGTCTCTAGATACTTTATAGCAATAGCACTTCAGCTTATATACTGCTTCAGTGCTTCACAGCCTTCTCTCAGCAGTTTTCAGTCAGCATATTGCCCCCAACAATCTGGGTCCTCATTTTACTGACCTTGGAAGGATGGAAGGCTGAGTCAACCTTGAGCTGGTGAGACTTGAACTCCTGGTAGTCAGCAGAAGTAGCCTGCAATACTTCAATCATCAGGAGATGGTGGCTTAGATTAATTTATTCATTTTACTTGGCTTAGATGCCACTTCAACTGCAAATACAACCACATGATTTATATTCTTAAATGCAATAGTAAAATTAAAAAAGTAAATCACAAGATAGTATAATTGATTTCTTTTCAGCCAAGGAACAAGCAATAACCAAGTAATGACATTTTCCTGTAGGTGGGACCAGTACATCACATCAGAATATTTGATCTGAAGAGGAATGATATTGCAGAAAAAAGGAGGTGGGAGAAGAGCAGGGATTTGCAAGGTGTTTCCCAGTTCTTATAAAAAAGGCAGAATCCACAGTGTGTAGAAATTCTTGCAGATAGCCAGGTGACAAGCCATATAGGGAATTTAAGGTAACAATTAGATTTGGATTGCACCCAGAAGTCAAACTGTAATAAGTGCAACTTTTGAAGTAATGTTACATGGCAAACTGTTGTTCATCACTGATTGAGCTGTAATTTGTAGGTGGCCTTGAAGAACAGCCTCACGTACAACATGTTGCAACAGGCTAAATGAGAGAAGTTTCTAATCTTTGATCCTCTGGTCATCAAATGGCTTCTTATCATTATAAAAACTTGCTGGGAAAAAAACACAGCCTTGATTTGCTTATAGAATATTAACAAGATACAAGATACACATACTTTTGCAGGAAGGCAATTCAATAAAGTAGGAGTTGCCACAGAGAAGGAATGTCATTTATCTATACTCCAAGTCTCAGATATTAAATTTTTTATCCTGATGATCACACTAGATGCATGCTTATTACTGCCTACACTGCTGCACTGAAACTTTTCAGTCAGTTTTCAAAGGCAGCACCATATAGAGCTTGAGTAGCTGAGCTATGAGTAGGACATGAGTGACTCAGGGGCATCCAAATCCAAGGAGTGCAACGGGTACCCAAGAGAGCTGTTGCAAAGCCCTTTTTGATCATATTTGTCATAATCTAAATGAACATCAAAAAGGAAGGAAAACCACATCAGTTTTGTAGCTTTTGTGCAATATTTCAAATCAAGTGAAAAATCTTTATTAATTAGATCTGTTTTCTAGAATGTATTGTTGGAAGAAAAATCTGGTCTGGTTCCAAGTCGGGAAAAAGGCACTGGAAATAAAAATGGAGGCTAACTGGCTGCAAGGAAAGGAGGCTTATTTACAAGCAGAACCAACAACAGCATGTTGTTCTGGGACAGCTGAAAAAGTAGTTTTGATGATTTCATTGATTTTTATAGGGTTCTGGGATTTTGTGATTGAGATTTTGTAGTTGTTGTGTAATGTAGTGAGCTTTCTGTCTTTTACTATTCTAATGGTGGTGAGCTAATCCTTTTATGTCCTAAAGGTCATATTCTGTTCTTAGAATTTGGGTGAGGGGATGTAAATTCTTAATCCCATCAGCTGGAACTGAAGGTGCTGTTTGTGAATAGGCTGTCCTGGATTTCTTAATGGGCACAAAATATCCATCTCTAAAGACTTCAGGCATCTGCTGGAGGTTGTTTTACTATGCAGGAAGCTCCATTTCTCCTTTGGGGAAATATAATATTCTTCCTCTTTTAATATACCCCAAAATATTTCATTCTCTGGAGGGCAGGGGTTTCCTACAGTACACTGCATCTAGTCTTATCGATGGAAATGTTTTCATTGGAAGTCAATTCAAGTGTGCAAAAGTTACACAACCCTTTTAGATATATTGCTCCTTTAATGGTTCCAGAAATGGCTTGTTTCGCACTAACATGATGTCTGAAGCTTCTGTTTAAAGCAAGCTTCGGAGAATATCCCCCAGTCTGGTACTAAAACTCCAGCCTTATTTCAGAATTAATTATGCCAGCTCGAATGTGCAATATACCAACTTTCAAATTAGTGGCCAGACAGGATGCTATAGCAACAAATTCCTTTTGAAACTTGTGCAGACAAGTTCAGACGTGTAGAAGTTGCTATGCAAATACACCTGCTCAAATTATTCAACAATTAAAATTAACAATTAATTGACAATTATTAAAAATGCAACATCGCTGTCATTTACTTGCACTAGATGGTATTAGTTGTCTCTGAAAATCAAGTCCTTTAGAAGCAAATTATATTGTATTTTTCATTGTAGCATCTGAGATTTAGCCCATTTGATTTCAGTTCTGATGTCCCAAAGGTACTTTTCCAAAAGGTAACTGGATTTACTTGGTTTTACAAGGTTTTTTTTTCCTGAACACGTTTCGCTTCTCATCTAAGAAGCTCCTTGGATGAGAAGCAAAATGTGTTCAAGGGAAAAAAAAACCCAAGAAAGTCCTAATATCTATTTTATATCATATAACTCTTATCAACCGAATTCGACTTGGTACTTTCCCTTAAAAATACACACTAAATTCTAAAAAAATAAAAAATAAATAACAATAATGAATAAAATGGTTATTCTATTCAAATTCATCCTGATAACTGATATTGATTTCATTATAAATCTTTTACATTTCTTTTCAATTATATTTTATAAATCATTAAGAACAATTAAAGTATTTCCATTCCTTCCTCTTATTCCCCCTTCTTCTACTTTTGTTTCCTTTCTCTCTTTATTTCATTTAATTATTAACAAACATTCCATCACATAACAATACCAGTTTTGTCTTTTACTTTAATCACCTATATTTCATATTTTCTAGCTCATTATTATTTCTAATATAACAATGCTGTCTCTTGTATCCTTGCAGAATTCTCTCTTTCAATTTATATTTTTAACCATTATCTCTATGTCTTTTAAATAGGCTTTTAATCCTTGTACATTTTCCCTGTTTCTTTATTTCCTGTTTCTGTCCCTTATAACTTCGTTTCCTTTTTATCTTTCCCCTCTTTTTCTCGCCACCCTTTTTGCCCCCATCTCTCTGATTCTCTCCCTTCTGTAATCTTCTCTTCTGCTTTTTCCTAGTATTATATGTACTTTTCAAACTATTCTTTTTTTAGTTGTTTCCTCAGATCTTGAGTTTTTTACTCCCTTCCCTCCTTTTCCCATTTTACCCCACATGGAATTGTTTGGTCGTTAAAGATGGCTTCTTCTTTGTTCAGCCCTTCTTTTTCTTCAAGCATTTCTTGTTGTTTTTCATAGTTCAAAAACTCCATTTCTAAGAATTGAAGTGCGAAGCCAAAGGATCCTCCTCCCTCTTGCAACTCTTTTTTCATTTTTTAAGTTCCATTTTTAGTTCCTTGAGGAGTACTGCCATTTTAAGCACTTTTAAACAACCACCCAATTAATTTTAGTTCAGACCACTAGAAATCCAACACCCAAAATTCTAAAAATCACCAAATAATCCAAAGCTGTTTCTTCTTACTTCTTTTTTCCACTTTCCCTTTCTGGGGGCTCTGTTATCTTGTAACAAAGTTTCAGTTACAATGTATCCTTTGGAAGTCTTGTTAAAATTCCACTGTTAATTCTTGTTATTTCCAGGTGGTACTCTCTGCTGTTTCCAAGTCCCACCCTTTCTTTTTTCCTCTACTTTCCACCTTTTGAAGGCTTTAGAATATCCAGAAAGTCTTTATTTTCCCTTTGACACTTTAATTTCATCATAAAATTGCCTGTTAGTGTCAAAGTAGATTAACACAAATTTCTTGCTTAAATCTCTTCTTTTTAGCATTCAAAGCCAATTGCAGCTGTCGATATGAGAAAAAAAAACCTCTTTTCCTTTTCTCTCTCTCCTCCGCCACTTTAAGAATATTCTTTTAGGAGTAACACTCTTAGTAATTTAAATTCCAGGGTACCTTGCATGCAAGTTCTCCCCTTTGTCTTCTTCCTGCTCAATCTTGTCCGGTCGGGTTCCTCTTTAAGGTGGCCATTTCTGACCACTGCTGCAACCACCTTTGGGAAAGGGAATAAAGACCAGATGAGGAGAGATGCAGCTCCCCTCAACTCAGCTGGCGGTCTCCCCCCTCTTCGCCACCTCTACGGGCTGGCTTCAGTCCCCTATCCAAGGGATCAGGGCGCTCCAGCAGTGAGCACGGATCAAAACCGCACACAATCACGGATTTCGGTCTGTCGCCGAAGAAGCCCAAACTGGAGGCCTAAATGTATAAATTAAATGTTAAATGAGATTTGAATGGATAACAACTATAAGATATAAAGGTGATATACTCTATTTGGTAATCACAGGGGAAACCTTGCTTTTTAATGCCTGGAAGGGGAGGAAATCTTTTTTCTTTTCCCTTTGGGGATGATGATGGAAAAAGAATGTATGAAATTGTAAGCAGGACAGACAAAAGTACAAATATGATTAGAAACATATAGAAATTTAGAAAAAGATATGTAATTTAATTAGAAAGGAATGAGATAATCAGAAATAAGGTTGAGGAAAGTAAGGGAAGGGAAAAATTATTGAGAAAATGATAAAATAGTGACAAGATATGAAATAGAATATAAAGATGAATATGTAATTGAGATTATGTCTGTATGGAGATGTGACAACCTGGAATCATGCTGTTCTCAAAAAAGATATTTTATTTGTATTATGTTTTGTGAAAATCCAAATAAAACTTTTACAAAAAAAAAACACCCAAGAAAGTCCTGTTGCCTTTTGGAAAAGCATCTTTGGGACAACTATAACTTGGGTGATTGAGAATCCGCACAGACGTTCACCTCGGATCACAAGACTCTTAATTTCCTTCCAGACTCCAGCCGCCAAAAATTATCCGGACATCCACGTATAAGACACTGAGGCGCATGCGCTGTTGCCTTATAGGGCCACCAGAGTTGCGCGCCTGCGTTGCCCTCCACATTCATTCCGTTCGCTTTATTACATTGTAAAGGTTGCTAACCACCTCCACCTCTTTTTTCCCCCCTCTGAGAACGCGCACGCTCGTACGTTCGCTCTCCCCTCGCCCCCCACTCTCAATCTCTGCAGTCCCAGCTCCAGAAGAGTGTCGGAGGCGCGCGCGCAACCCGATGGCGTGCGTGCGGACGCATGCGCTATCCGATGCGTGAGCAAAGCGGGGAGTCGGGTTCAAAGGAGGAAATATGGCGGAAAACAAAGGAGGAGGAGGAGGAGGCGGCGGCGGTGGCGGCGGGGAGGGGGCTGGAGAGGCCGGGCCGGTGGGGGGTGGTCCCGAACCTGCCGCTGCGGCGTCGGCTGTTGTTGTCACCTCTGCGGCGGCAATTGCATCTCCGTCTTCTCCGGCCCCGATCCAGCCCGAAGAAAGAGAAAGCCCCGCCGCGGCGATCCTGGCTGCGGCGGTGGACAAGGGCCCAGGGGAGGCGGAGGCCGCGGCGCCGGTTGTGGTAAGCGTAGGCCCGAGTTCCACCTCTATCCCGGCACCTCTGGGCCCCAGCCCTGCTCCCCCCGCTCTGTCCAACGCCGCGCCGGGCCCGCTGTCGCTCCTAGACACCTGCGCAGTGTGCGCGCAAAGCCTGCAAAGCCGGGAGGCCGAACCGAAGCTCTTGCCTTGCCTTCATTCCTTTTGCCGCCGCTGCCTGCCGGAGCCTGAGCGCCAGCTCAGCGTGCCGGTGCCCGGCGGTGCCAACGGGGATATCCAGCAGGGTGAGTGGCCATAAGGTGCTCGGTGACGGTGACAGAAATCTTGACTGGGGAGGCTGCCCTGGTAAGGTGTGTGTGTGTGTGCCTACCTAAGGGAAGGGGCTGTGAACGAATGGAGGAGGAGAGTAGGCTATTAGAGTGCTTGTGACTTAAATTGGCACCATTTTGACCAGATCAATAACCCCGTATGATGGATGCAGCGATACAGGATGGGTTAGAAAAGGAACCCCAGGACTGTCTTGCTTGATCGGAGGCTTGTGTCAAGGGCAATATAGACGTGTACATAAAAGGTTGAATAATGGTGATACCGTAGGATGCAATTGGTCCGGAGCTGATCTTTTGTGTAGAATTTGGCACATTTGTTGCTATGTGCAGCATCAAGCCTGACCTTGGAGAATCTCTTGTGTGTCTAAGTGGTCAATTGCAGAGAAGCCATATTAGATTTCATTGCTTTGAGGTAGGTATTTAAACCATATGGCTTTCTACAGATGACTTGTCAGTAATACTTAATAGATTTTACTAATTGGTAAATATAAAACCAAGACCCAAATTTTATGGTGGGTGGTCCAAATCTGATAAATTTTATTTTCTTCTCTTCAGCCACTTTCAAAATACAGTATAGTGTATCATCCCTTGCTGTCAGTAGACACTAGGCTTTGAAGAACTTGTTTTTATTAGTTCATTTGCATTATATTAATAATTTGGAGTTTGTTAATTTGCACCTGTTACAAAAGAGATTACACTTAGAATTAAATCATTCTGAACTCAGAAATGTATGTTTATTTGAGCACTAATACATACATTCAGTAGTTTGGATGAGTAATACTGTATTGTTGAGAGCATGATAATTTTTTGTATGATAAAAGTAAATGTGTAGGTATCAATACAGGGTCTTTTCTTTTTCTTCTTAGTTGAAGAATCCCATCATGTCTAATCCTAACTGACAAATAATAACTGTTTCTGACATTCCACTCTAACAGACTCATTCCTCCCTCTTTATTATACAGTTCAGGTCTGTTCAGTGCCTTTTCTGGGATTGCTTGGCTTTTCTTTACAGTTGCTGTGTGATCCTGGGGGGCGGAAATGTAATTTCTCTAAAGTCTTCCATAGACACTCATAATACCTTTTTGGAGATCAAATTCAAATATTCCCCTCCTCCCTCTCCCTCTCTCTCCTCAGATCTTTGCATTTTACTGGCTAGCAGTATTTAGGAATAAATTTTGTCCAGCACTTTTTGTCTGCCTTTTAGTAGTTACTGTCTATATTATAGATACTGGAAGCCTATACTTGGCCTGAAAATAATAGTGAATAGTGTTTTGTTCTAGACGATATTGACAGTAAATGAAATGCATGTCAAGTGCTTCTAGAGACTTTCTCTAATATTGCTGGCATTTTCTGTTTTGGAATTTCACTCTAGCATGCTTTTTCCACAATCCAGATTCTCTGAAGTGTGTTTTATATGAGCCTTTTTCCGCAACTTTGGAAGATACACATTAAATAGATTTTCAGGGAATTGTGCATCATATACTTAAATTGGGTTGGGGTCAAGTATTAGACAACATATTATATGTGGTCAGCCCCCCCCCCCCCCCCCCAATTTTTAAAATCGTTATGAAAGCAGTATTATTTGGGAAAATATTTTAAACCATCATGTAGGTCAAAAGGGGTGATTGTGAATTTTTTGTGACTGGAATTTACTGTTACTTTCTTTCAACTAAGTCATTGATTGAGATGGACAGCCACAAAAATTGAACAAATAAATAAACATCACTTGTGATGAGATGTGTGTACATACACAAATTTAATAAATATGTAGTTTCCATGAATTGCTATACAATTTAAAAAAAATTCTACCTGAGAAAACATTGCACTAGCTTTCATGAACTGCCTATGATGCTCAGTTAATCCAGATTTTTAATGCTATACCTATGGTTTTTCTAATTTCATCTTTACAATCCCCCCCCCCCCCCCGAAAATAAAAGGAATTTACCAAAATTAATTTTGAGCTTTCTGAGATGATTCAAAATCTCTGATGTTATTCTCTGTCAGAATGATACTGGTACAAGTTCTTAACAAAAGAATTATCAACTAATTATATTATGTATAATATTAATTTACAAAAACTCGTATAAATTAATTCAATAATCTGTATTATCTCTACATTGTAGCTGGAAGATAGAATGACTTAATAAGGCTGTTACCTGTCCTAATAACAGGTAGTATGTAATCTGCACTGGACTTTTTGGGGATGGAAATGGCAGTCTTAGTGGCAACTCAGAGCCCTCCAATCATCCAAGCTGGAAAGGAGCAGTGATCACTATCCTTATATTTTGCCTTATTTCCTTTTTTCCTTTTCCCCTTTCCTTTGGTGAATGAGAGGCTATACAAATTTAATAAATAATACACCTTCGAAGGAAAGCAGCTTATTTGCACCTGCCAATTTAATGTTCTGAATCCTGCTTTCAATCATGCTTCACTTTTAGGGGCTTCTTGAGATCAAGGTTTGTGATTTCAGAAAGGCCAACGATGGTGGCTAATTCTGATGTGTAGTTCCCTTCTTCAAGGTCAGAAACTTGTGGCTGACATTTGAGGGGGAGCCACCAATCTTGTGGCCTTAGGACTGTAGCCTTATTTTCTTATTTAGTCTTTTTATCAGTTAATGTATTTTTACATTCTGCCTCTTCAAATAGACTTAATTGGATGTTTTAATAATGTGGTCTTGAAAATTGTTTTTTTAACTTGTTGACAATTTTTATTTTATTTTTCTATGAATTCATGTAGACTTGAAAATTGATGGACATTCCTAGAACTATTTAGACAGATTTCAATAATGAGATGTTTTGTGAAGAATATACAGTATATAGCTAATCCTATTTACATGAAGCGTTTGGGTGTGTTGTGCTTACATGCTGAAAACGTTGAGATTTGATAAGCTGTTTTGGACGTAGTATTAGCACATAGGTTAATAATATATAATTATTTTGTATGCAGTCCAGTTTCTCTTTTAACTGTTTGAAGTAAGAATATTGTCTTTTATTTGTCATTGTGTTAAATGTAATTATATTTTTCAGTATGAGAAAGTTGTATAATGCTGCAATTAGTCACAGTAAATATAGAGGAAAAATTGCTCTTTGAAAATTATTATAACATACAATACAGAAAAGTGAGTTTTAATCTATTTTTTTAATCTTCCTGGCAAAATATTTGTATTATCTGTAAATGTCAAACACATAGATTGAATGTTTATTATGGTTTCTGTCTCAGTGGAGCTTTTAGAAAAAAAATGATAACATTTTGGAAATATAAAAATTTTACGTGGTCATAACTTAAAAAGAGACTAATTTATGAGCAATTAGAAAGGGGCTGACGTTGGGTCTAAAATAAAGAACTCTAATAAAGTGGAATGTTTGTTTTTAATCAAACCATTGGTCCATATAATTTTGCATTGTCAGAACTGGCCATTCTCAATTTGATAATCTCCAGTTGTGTTGTATTTCTATTATTTTTATTTTGAGCCAGCGCGATCAAAGGCGATAACGACCTCAAATTAGTCCAATATATCAGGAAAACCTGCAGTTGAGAAAGGATGCTTTAGGCTATATAAGTTTTAGTAGTTTTTTCCAGATCTGTTTGCATATGCTTAATGTTGAATGATTAGGTTTGTTCGCTGAGCGACTTTATAAATTGTTCAATAATAGATGAAAATGTCTACTTTCAATTTTGAAATCTGTATTTTAAGGAAGAGTCTACCGATTTGTCTAGGTTTCTGAAGTTCAAGTCCATTTTCTTCTATTAAAATCCACTGAATGATAATTGACCAGCCATTATTTCTCAATCCAGCATATACTGTTGTTCTTGGGAAGAAGGCAGAATGAATTATATATGTTTTATTGAGCTCCTGTGGAAATATCAAGATTAAATAAAAATGCCAGGTCTCTTGTATTATCCTTTCCTATGCAAAAGTTATAAAGGATTTTTCTTTGAAGTAAAAAATTTAAAAATGAAACTTAGTATAGTTTAGGTTACTCTATAACTAAAATAATGTAATTTAAAATTGCAGATTAGTTTAAGACAGATTATTTATGAATCAAAGCAAATACATTCCTGTTGTTCAATCTTATAAGTAGTAAAGCGGATTGTATGATTTGTTCAAATAGATCATATATTTGAGGTATTTTGTAGACATTACTCATTAACTTTTTAAAATTATAACTCATTTTGTAAAGTCAATTGGCTTAAGAATTGTATTCCCATTAAGTATTGAGACTAATTTAGCAGCATCAACAAATAGTTTAAATCTCATTTGGAATGTAAATTACTTGATTGAAATAATGAGCAATTAGAATACAGTGATTTATTTAAGATCAGCAAAATCGTTATGTGAAATAGGACAAGGAGGTTGCGTGCAGGATATCGAGAGTGTTGTAGCCATTTGCTCCTAAAGGATTTGGTTCTATGTTCTATAATACCTGTATTTTATTTTATTTTTATTTATTTTATTTTGCCAAAAGCTTACAATACAATAGAAATAAGAATAAACATAAATTTAAATATAAGAAATAGGAACTAATAATTGGGGACAATAGGACAGGAACGGTAGGCACGATTGTGCACTTATGTACGTCCCTTACAGACCTCTTAGGAATGGGTGAGATCAATAGAGATTTGAGGGTAAAGGAGTGGGGGTTTGAGCAGATGACAACAGAATCAGGTAGTGAGTTCCAGACATTGACCACTCTGTTGCTGAAATCGTACTTCCTGCAATCAAGTTTGGAGTGGTTTACATTAAGTTTATATCTGTTGTGTGCTCTTGTGTTGTTGAGGTTAAAGCTGAAATATTCATTAACTGGTAAGACGTTGTAACATATGATTTTATGTACTATGCTTAAGTCCAATCTTAGCCGGCGTAGTTCAAGGTTGTCTAAGCCTAGAATCTCAAGTCTGGTGGTGTAGGGTATTCTATTGCGAATAGAGGAATAATTTAGGCACATTAACCTGTAATA